CCCCAAAACCCCAAAACCCCAAAACCCCAGGTTAAAATTTGTATATTGAATCTTTGGGTTTGCAGATAAATTGTTCTAGATATAAACTCTTGGTTCGAGGATATCAATTAAATTTATGAAATACAATCAAGACGAGCAGTCTATGAAAAGCACCCTTAAAGGGCTCATAGACATCCTTGATGTAAATTCTTCAGTAACTGAAGTAATAGCAGGGGTTTTAGTTGCCCAACATTTTAAGAATGAAGGAAAACCACTGGATTTATTAAACATAAATTCTATCCTGAACCATATTAACCAGCAAGATTTGAATGGGTCCGGAAGGAGTTTATCACAATATGGCTACCAAAACTCACAAAAGTCTGTGAATAAAAATTGTATCGATCAGTACTTTCATGGAAAGACAAATAGAGTTGTCAAAAGAGAAAATACCCTAGTCACTCATGATGGAAGTCAAATGTCTGATATGGTAAATCCAAGTATGAGCAACGTGATTAACAATTGAGAGCAGAGGAGATGGTCCTTACCTCTACAACCTTTTACTTATTATCCTAACGGAGAAGAGAACTGTCACAGCTACTATCCTCAGTTACCTTATATTAAGAGAGAGGAAGACACCCTGGCTAATCCTGAGGAAGAGCCTAGCGAAAGATATGACGAGCCTGTCGCTTCCAAACCTGCAAAGAAAAAGAAAAACGGGAAAAAGAAGCCTGTGATAAGAAAATAATAAGCCTGCAAGTAATTCAAAATTTCTAATCGAAAATGTGAAGTCCTTCGAAAAATCAGATAACAGGCCAAGGACAGAAATCTGGAATTGGGAAAGGATCCAAATAATCGCAGAAGAAGATGATAATCTGAACAAAAATACCCACTCGCGCTCTAATGGAGATAGGTACATCTCAGTTTCTTGATCTCTCTGTATGGAAGAGTTAATATTGGAGTCGTGTGTGGCAAATCTCTCATGAGGACATATCTACCATCAGAGATGACTAGTCAACCAATGCAAGAAGTATATCAGAAGGTGCCAGTACCCTGAATTTTGCCCTACAATGGGCTGCGAGAAAAGACTAGGACCTCAAGAAATAACAAAGCATCTTGAAAATGATGAATTTATTAGATTTGAAGCATTTGCTCTCCTACGAAGTGGGCAGATGAACAGAAAGAAACTTGGGTGGTGAGGAGACTGCAGGTTTATCTTCTCTTGTAGTAACAAGGAAAATTTAAGATGCTTGAAATGCAGCCAGCCAGGATATACATTCCAGGAATGCCTTTCCTTCCTTGACTTAGACAGTAAGTAATTCACATTAATTCATGTAGAGGATAATCCTCAATTTGAAAAGAGGCAGAGGCTTGACACACTGTTCTTAGAAGACTGTGATGGAATCGTCAATAGATGACTTCATTGCTTAAAGAGGAAATCAAGGATTCCAGGATATAGATATTCACTATGCTATTGTAATAAAGTTACAGAAACTTGAGACAAAAAGGATGAAGCATCCACTGAGAAGCAAAGTGAGCAGGATGATGTTCTAGACAAAACTGTCGATGATTCCCTTTCAGATCTCAAAATCAGAGTCAATACCAGGAAATGCAGGATTAAATATAAAGAGAAGGTGCTCTTACCTGACATCAATGAAAAAGACTCTTCTGAAGAAGAAAACTCAGATGAAGAATATATTGAAGAAAGGGGTTCTACTTGTGACAAAATACTTGGAGGAATAGAACTATAATTTTAATATTTTCAATATTTTACTATTTAGAAGGGGTTTTGGGGTTTTGGGGTTTTGGGGTTTTGGGG